GGGGGGCGAGGCTTCAGTACCATTGAGTTCAATGGACCACCACGCCCCCTCCTGCCCCAAAACAAAGTGATCCGCTGGGTTGCATTCCAGAGGCTGAACGCACTGGCACGAACTCCTTATGGTGGGACTGGGCCCTTAGGCCTTGTTCACACAAATTACGGTGCTTTCTAGAGCGGTAGCTGCTGGAACGCACAGCAATCACTCACAAATCTTCCCGCTGAGTTCAGGGGTGGGAGGGGGCGTTGCGGTGCATTGAAGTCAAAGGCACTGCAGCCACCTCCCATAGTGCGATCGGATGCGTGGCAAAATATTGCCTGCGTTCTGTTCCACTGCAATGCTGCTTGCGCTATTTTTTGTGTTTGCAGTGGAATGGAACGCAGGCAATGTTTTGCCACACTTCCCGATCGCACTGCGGCGGGAAGGCGAAGCAGTGCCATTGAATTCAATGCACTGCCACGCCCCAGAACGCAGGGGGAAGTTTTGTGAGCGATTGTGGTGCGTTCCAGCAGCTGCCACTCTGGAACGCATCACAATTGGTGTGAACAAGCCCTTAGACACTGAATTCCTTTTTTTTTCCTACCCTGTATTTTTTATATATTGTACAAAGTGCAGGTCCGGGGGTTGGGGACCACTGTCCTATGTGATCAAAGTAGATAGATATTAATTAAGTGTCTCGTTTAGGAACCTATAAGTGATGTATCTCTGTAATAAAAAGATATATGTAATCTCCATGATTTGTTTGTGAAAAAATTCCAATAAAAAAGTTTTATAAAAACAACAAAAAAGTCTCTGTGGTGTACTTTTTTGTTGTTTTTATAAAACTTTTTTATTGGAATTTTTTCACAAACAAATCATGGAGATTACATATATCTTTTTATTACAGAGATACATCACTTATAGGTTCCTAAATGAGACAATTAATAAAAAAGACTTACCCAGCCAGGGAGTTTTCGATGTGTGCACTGCAGGGGGCGGGGCGGGACGTGTGACACACACACGCCTCCTGTGACTCACCTCCCCTCCCGCCTCCTGTTACTATGGACGCGGCCGGGAGGGAAGGTGAGTCACAGGACCCGCCCCCTCACTGTGAAGCCCGTCGGCAGTGCGCGACCCCGGTGTTCGAACACCGGGTCCCTGCACTGCCCCATATTGCAGGACCGGACCGCACTGAGACTGTGCGGCCCGGTACCATTTGATCCGCGGACCGCTACCGGTCCGCGGACCGGGGGTTGGGGACCACTGTGCTAGAGGGCTAGATGTCTGATGAGTGAATGGATGTAGCCGGGGGGGGGTTGTGCTTACTAAAGACCCAAGCACTCTGCGTTACTACTGATCCTTGCACTCTGCATTAGTTACTACTGACCTCTGCATTACTTACTACTGACCTCTGCATTACTTACTACTGGCCCCTGCACTCTGCATTACTTACTACTGCACTCTGCATTACTTACTACTGGCCCCTGCACTCTGCATTACTTACTACTGGCCCCTGCACTCTGCATTACTTACTACTGGCCCCTGCACTCTGCATTACTTACTACTGCCCCCTGCACTCTGCATTACTTACTACTGGCCCCTGCACTCTGCATTACTTACTACTGGCCCCTGCACTCTGCATTACTTACTACTGGCCCCTGCACTCTGCATTACTTACTACTGGCCCCTGCACTACATGTTGCATTACTACTGACCCATGCACTCTACATTACCACTGACCCTTGCACTTGGCATTACATACTACTGACCACCACACTCTGTGTTAAATACTTCTGAACTCTGTGTTAGATGCTAATGACCGCTGTATTCTGCATGATTTACTACTTACCCTTGCCCTCTGGGCTACTTACTACTGATCCCTCAACTCTGTGTTACAGACTACTCACACCTACATTCTGCTTTACATACTACTGAACTCTGTGTTACTTACACCTGACCCCTGCACTAGGTGCTACTCACTACTGGCCCCTGCACTTTGAGTTACTTACTACTGACCGCTGTACTTAGTATGACTTCCTCCTAAACTCTGCACTTTGCTTTACTACTGACCCCTGGACTCTGCATTATTTATATTTGACCCCTGCACTCTGCACTACTTACTACTGACCCCCGCACTTTGCATTACTTACTACTGGCCCCTGCACTCCGCATTACTTACTACTGACCCCTGCACTCTGCACTACTGACCCCCGCACTCCGCATTACTTACTACTGACCCCTGCACTCTGCACTACTTACTACTGACCTCCGCACTCCGCATTACTTACTACTGACCCCTGAACTCTTTAAACCTTCCTCACTTTTTAATAGGGCCTCGCTGGGTTATCTCCTTTAAGTGTGCTGATCCCGGGTGATCTCTGATCTTCTGCATGTTGTTCAGATAGAGCTCCACTTATCCAGGGTTGCCTACCCCCTGCCCTAGGCTAGCCTGTCTGATGCTAGTCATGGCTTCTAGTGCTGGATGTGTGTTTGTAGCTGTTCTCCTCCTATAACCTGTGTGTGTGGTCTGCCCTGAGCTGATGTGTGTGTCCGTCATGGTGCGACTTACTAGAGTATATCAGTCTGTCAGTTAGTGTACATCCGGGTGTCCTATGTTTGTGGATGGCTGTGAATGCTTGTCAGTCACTTTATGTTTTTAGGGGTTTGGGGTAGAATCTAAGGGTTTAGTAAAGGATACGTTTTAGGGTTCAGCTATGGTTATGTTTAGGGTTTATGGGCCTGGGGCAGGGGTGAAGGTTAAAGGTTAAGATTTAGGAAGACAGTGAAGGTTGTGCTCTAAGTCAAATTTCAGGATTCAGGTTAAGAGTTACATTTTGGGTTGGGGTGAAGGTTCAGGTTTGAATTTTAGGGTTTAGTTAGGGCGGTAAGGGTAAAGGTGAGGATTTAGGGGGTTACATGAGGTTACGTGTTAGGTTAAATATCAGTGTGCAGATTAAGGGTTAATTCTAAAGGTTAAGGTGACGATATAAGGAATTTATTATAGGTATAACTTAGATTACGTTTTAGGGTTCAGGATAAGGGTTATATTCAGGGGTAAGGATCAGGAATGATTCTTAGGGTTAGGGTTGAGATACAACTTAGGTTAAGTTTTAGGGGTCAGGTTAAGGGTTATATTTAGGGGTAAGGATCAGGGATGATTCTCAGGGTTAGGACTAGGGTTATGGTTAAGGTATCACTTAGA